ATTAACATTACCACTAATAACTATTGCTTTGAACTTGGAATCTAGTCTAGTTTTTTAATAATTAAAAAGATGAAAAACATAAATCATTGTAATTAGTAATAATGAGGCAATTACAAGTCATCTCAATAATTTATTACTAATTCATTCATATATAATAACACATTTTTAATATCTTAGTAATAATAAATCAAATAAATAAAATCAGTGGCATTAATCAAATAAACGGAGAGTCACACTTTTCATATGCCAGTAACTATTGGATATACATGTACAATAAAAATATATCTTTTCACATTCCAAACTTTTAATTATTTGCATATATTTTAATTAAGAATTAATTTAAGGAAATGCAAAAGTCATCTACATTTTTATTAAAATAATTTAACATTTAAACTAAATAATTAAATGTTTTTATAACATTTTAATTTATAGCAAGGATAAAATTGTAATTCAACTTTTAACTTTTTTGTTCCCTCTTATAATAATATACGATTGATTAACATATACATTGATGAAATACATATGTTCTAGTTTGAGAAATTTGTTACTTTATAGTTTATAGGGAGAAGGGTCAAATATACTCCTAAACTATTTGAAAAGTTTTAGATATACCCTCCGTTTAAAGTTTGGTTCATTTATACCCTTGCCGTCCAACTTTTGGTCTACATATGCCCTTTGAGTGTTAGTTGGCCAACTCGAAATATCCAACTCAGTTTATTTTTATTTAAATGTCAAATGGATTTTCCACGTCATTTTTATGTATTATCACTTGACATTTATATTCAAGGGAGGGTCAAATATGACCCTAAACTATTCGAAAGGTCTAGATATACCCCCGTTTAAAGTTTGGTCAATTTATACCCTCGCGTCCAAACTTTTGGTCTACATATGCCCTTATGGGTGTTAGTTGGTCAATTCGAAATATCCAACTCATTTTATTTTTCTTTAAATGCCAAATGGATTTCCCATATCATTTTTATATATTATTACTTGACATTTATATTAAAAGAGAAAGGGGTCTTTTATGCCCCTAACTATCCGACCTAATTTTAAAACACATATACGACCCGTCTTTTAAATAATCTGTACAACCCGACCCTTTTTTTTAAATACCCTATATGGGTCGGATTAGGGCATAATTGAACCATTTAAATGGCGAACACTATCGTGCTCTGATTGGAACCGCGCGAGGAATCAATGGCACGACAACTAAAGGAAAAGGAAGTCGAGGTTTGAAAAGCATTTTGGCCCAACGCAGAGCTGGAGGCACAAACCTGGCAGGCAAGGGCTAGAGTAGAGGAATTCACCGCAATAACGTTATAGACACAAATGCAAGCTGCAGCAGGCGATGATGATGTAAATAACAAAATAATTCACACATATATGAGTCGGATTAGGGGCATAATTGAACCATTTAAAAGACGATCGTATATGTGTTTTAAAATTGGGTCGGATAGTTAGGGCATAAGTGACCCCTTTCTCTTTTAATATAAACGTCAAGTGATAATTTATATGAATGATGTGAAATCTCATTTGTCATTTAAAGAAAAGTAAAATGAGTTGGATATTTCGAGTTGACCAACTAACACCCATAAGGGCATATGTAGACCAAAAGTTGGACGCGAGGGTATAAATTGACCAAACTTTAAACGGGGGTATATCTAGACCTTTCGAATAGTTTAGGGGCATATTTGACCTTTTTCCCTTGAATGTAAATGTCAAGTGATAATACATAAAAATGACGTGGAAAATCCATTTGGCATTTAAATAAAAGTAAAATGAGTTAGATATACCGAGTTGGCCAACTAACGCCCAAAAGGGCAAATGTAGACCAAAAATTGGACGGCGAGGGTATAAATGAACCAAACTTTAAACAGAGGGTATATCTAAACCTTTTCAAATAGTTTAGGGGTATATTTAACCCTTTTCCCTAGTTTATAATATTGTGTATGCCACAAATTATATGTTCCTAAGGCTTTTAGAAAGCATGAAAATTGAAAACTAATTAAAGCAATGTACATAAACACTCTTAGTCAGAAGATACATGTTATTCAATATTTTCGTTTGCGAAAAGCATATGTAAGTTATTTTCATATGCTTTTCGACAACCATAAAATTATATGAATTTTAAAAAGTAAAGTGCAAAATTCCCTAAAATCATGTAATTGGGCTGTTCTTGTATCTCTTTGTAGAATGGGCCTGCTTCAAAGATTACAAATGAGCAGAGGAAGTGCACAAAAAGCCCATTTATTCCCGTTTAAAACTTTGTTTTTTCTACATTTAGTAAGAAAATTATTTTCATCATTTTAAGTAATTCATTATACATTATGATACGCTCAAAAAAATTAATATAACTTATCTATACATGATTTATATACTAATTATACATTATGATATACTAAAAAGTTGAATATAGCTTAAAATATGAAGTATACACTAAATATACGTTTACCATTCAACTCCAACAAACTCGAAATCTCCTCTAAACAGTCCTAAATCTTAAATATGAAATTCTTTTAATATTTTAATATATAATTCGACTTATATTTGCGACGGATTGATTTTTTTAAAAAAAGGGAAACAATAAAGAAGAAGAAGGTAGCAAAGTTTATGAGCGGCATATTCTACGTAAATAGGGCAAAGTACAAAATTGCATACACTTGGGTTCTAATTTATTATACCATTTTTTCGAAAGTTTCCTAATTATAATAATCTTTTATTTTTCATAAACAATACATTAATTAAAATATTGTCGCGTTAAATATATTAAATCTCTTTTATTATCGGATACATTAGTCTTTAAATACATAACCTTTCAGATAAATAACAGTGGATGTATGTGTCGGGTATTAAAATACACATAATTCATAATCGGAAGGATATATCCGATATAATGAAAGAGAGAAAGAAAATGATTTTTTTAATTTTTTTTTTAAATGATGAAATATTTTAGAGATTATGATATCTAACGTTATGTATTTATGTAATAATTTTCTGATTAATTATCCTTTTAAAAAGGTAAACCAAATCAATTTTACTTCCGTTATAACAAATATCAAATAATTTTATCATACAATATAATAAATATAAATATCGAAGTGCATTTGAAGACCAAAAATAGAAAATAAGGACCATTTTGTTCAATTTCCAAAGTTTCTGGTGATTTTTGTCCCTGTAAATTGTTCTGTTAAACCCTAGTAGGGTTTAAGAAGATTGATTGCTCAAGTTAAGCGCCCCATAAAAATCGCTTACCAAAACTCTCTCATACGTTGTTTATAAAGTCAGGTATTCTCCTATTTTTCAAGTTACTATGATAAACTTCTTGAAAACCCAATTTTTATCACTTGATAATGGTGGATTTTCTGTATAATTCAACCCCTGAAGAGGTTGAAGATGATAAAAAAAATCAACCTTTTTCTGACCCTTTAAGCCAACTATCTATCCCTGACTTTGACGAATTCTCTTTGTCTTTTGCTGATTCTCTTCTTGATTTTGATTCCCTCAGTGATTTGATGTCGGATAGTCCTATGGCTGATAAAAAACAACAACCCCTTGAGCTTGGTTCTGTTAATGATGGAGTTTCTGAGAAATGTCAAACTCAAACTGAGGACCCTTTGTCTTGTTTGAATCAAGAAGAGAGTCAAATTGGGGTTTCTGAGAAATGTGATATTCAAATGGAGGACCCTTTGAGTTGTTTGAATCAAGAAGAGTGTCAAATTGGGGTTTCTGAGAAAGGTGATATTCAAACTGAGGACCCTTTGAGTTGTTTGAATCATGAACAGAGTTCTGAGAATGGGATGAAAGTTGAGGAATTTGATTCAATAGTTGAGGAGAAGATGGGTAGAGTTAGTATAAGTGGGATAGAGGATGAAAGAGTAGTTGATCAAGCTGATGTTGGAAATGTTAGTGGCAGTGTGGTGGCGGCAGCGGCGGCAATGATTAGCAAGAATGAGGAGAGTGATAATAAAGTTGTCATCAGTAGTAAGGTTGTGGAAAGAATTGTGAATGATAATGGAAATGGTAGTATAGTGAGTAATAGTGATACGGAGTCTGAAAGTGAAAGTGAAAGAGAAGCCTCTTCCTCGGCCTCTAGTAGTGACAGCGATGAAGATGAGAGTAGTTCTAATGATGAAGCAGAAGAGGAGGCGAATATGGAAGAAGGCGAGATTGTAGCATCTGATGTCGATGAGATGGTTGGTTGGGATGACGACGATGAGGACACTGGTGTTAAGGGGCCTATCAGGTCTAAGAATGAGGTTCAGGTAATAATTATTATCACTTTATATGTAAATGGTAGTGCATTTGAATTACTAATGATTGTTATGTTTGAGCTTTTAATGAAAGTGAAGTATCAGACGTCCACGGTCATTGTACCACTTAAGCTAATAATCCCTCAGTTATTGCTTAATCAAATTTTGGTCAATTACACAAGACATTTACTTGAGGCAGTGCTGCTTCGAGTTTTGAATGTCCATTTGTTTTCAATCATGGAACTGGTTGAATGTAGTGAAATCAACCATATGTATAAAGTAACAAAATTTAGGTGTACCTAGTTTAATAGGCATCTTCCAATGGAACCCAGAGGCAAATTAAAGTGCAAGAAAGAACTTGTGTCCTATACACATTTAGGAGATTGTTGTCCTATTACAGAACATAAGCACTACTTCACATTTTATGAATAGGTATCAGCATGAACATAATCATCAAAATATTTGAATTATTAATTATGAATTTATCTTCGTTATATTGGAGAACATTATTATAGTACCACAATAAATATACTAATACATTGTAGATGCGTCTATGGAGTGATTATATATTCTCATTTTAGAACTGCCACTGAATGCTAATACTACTGATGTTACAGTTATCTTGAGGTAGTAGGTTAAGTGCGAAACAATTTGGTAGGTAATTGTATATAGTATATACTCAAGTCTTAAGTGCTTGATTCTTCTGCACCTTATGGAATACAATGGAAAAATGTCTAAATTTCAGCTAAATAGCAAGAAAACACACCCTTTTTAGGGCGTCTATAAGAGATGATACTTTAATAGATCCCTGTAAATCATGAACAGGATTTCCGAGTAAAGAATGACTGGCCTACATATAGTCAACTCTGAAACACAAATCTTTGATCATTGTAGTAGAATTGAACCAGAGTCACTTGTGTAGGTACATGTCTAAATGTTGCAAATCTGTTAGCATTTGATTGACAGCTTGAAATTCTCTGTGTATTTAGTGAGTAGTCTAAAGATGTAATACGGAACTTTGTGCAAAGTGGAGTTCATCTATCTCCCTGATAATGCATCCAAAGTCCCAGTTATAGGCCATGCCTAAAGATAAAGAGGAGTGATATTAGATTTTTCTGTTTTTACCTCACCTTCTATCTTCACTGGCATCATGTCGCTTTTGGTAGACTTTGCGAATGCATACTAAACGGCGAATGGAAGACATAATTTAGAAGAAGAAAAAGATTGCTTTGTCTCCGTTTTATATCTATCTGCTTATCTTTTGAAGGACATCTTGATCAATCACTGTCAGATGATATTAATCTATGGGGGGAGAGTGCTAATAAATTTATATACTGATGATATTAAGACTAACGCCTAAGAGTAGAGTGCTCTAGATCTCTAAGAAGCACTTTAGCCAAAGAACTATCTATAAATCCATCAAGAAATTATGTGGCACTCCAAAATCAGTTGGAACCAGACAACCAGTTATTCCTGTTCATTTTAGTCCTTGCTGAACATTGCATCTTTGGGTGGATTAAGTAATCTGGATTTCGCACTTCTCCTTATATGGTTAATAAGTTTAATTCCAACAGTCGGTGTCGCCATAACAATCATTTGCTTCTATTGTAAAGCGCTTCTGCACTAAATATATTCTTGACATGAAAATAGTGGCTTTCTCTGTCTCATAGTTATTTGTCTTGAGAGTAGGAACCAGCAGATGTACCTTTTTAGAAATTTTATGGTGCTGACCTGAAGAACTTAAAAGGGTTGACTTGTGTTAAGTGAAATGAAGTACAGTAAGATTTTGGAAACATGTATTTGTTTTGGTCACCTCATGGATGATTAGCACGTGAAAGTGATGTTTTGAATTTGCTTTCATGTTTTATGTCAACATGTAAAAACTCAATCATACTTGTTAATTGCAGGTTCTACCCCCAGTTCCGGAAGTGACTGCAACCTTGCAACCACATCACCAGATGCAGCCTGTAGGAGTTGTGTCGTCGGTAAGACTAAAAAGCTGAAAACAAAAAAAGTCAAAGATTATGTCAATGGTGCTTGATTATAATTGATTAAACTTTATTATCTAAAGGGCTTATTTCATCTATGTATGGTGTGACAGACTATTGGTGCCCAAGTTGTAGTAGAAGGGGTGGAGAAGCATACTCCTCTTTGTGATGGTTCTATTCTCTGGATAACAGAAAGCAGATTTCCACTCGGTATAGTAGATGAGATTTTTGGCCCTGTCAAGAACCCGTACTACATTGTAAGATACAATTCGGAAAATGAAGTTCCCCCTGGAATCCACCCAGGCACCTTGATCTCTTTCGTCCCTGAATTTTCAAGTTATATCTTAAATGACAACAGTCTTTACAAGAAAGGGTATGATGCATCTGGTGAAAATGATGAAGAGGCGTCTGAGGATGAATTTTCTGATGATGAGAAGGAAGCTGAACACAGGAGAATGCTAAAAATGAAAAAGAGGGACGTCATGAATGACCAGAAACCAGGAAACAGGAAGGACAAAAGGAATCTGAAAAATCGACCACAGAACTGGAAACATGATCAAGGTGTGGCTGCGGATGTGCAACATAAAAATGGTAAGCTATCAGTTGACCAAAGTCCACGCTTTATTCCAGCTGCTGCTGCTGCTGCTGCTCCTATGGATCAAGGCATTCATCAAAGCGCCCCTCGTCAAGGACATGGACAGAGTATCAGGCCTCCATCAGTTCCTCCATTCCCTCATATGCAAAATTCCCCTGGCTTAGCATCACCGTCAACTGGAGTTTGGCCTAATGGATTCCCATTTCAACAGCCCCAGAATATGGGCTTTCCTAACACACTGCCGAATATGGGTATGTCATGGCCCCAACAAGGTCATCCTCAGCAAATGTTTCAAATGCCATTGCCAAATGCATTACCTTTTGAGCAGCAAATAAATCCAGCTCTTCCGCCTAACTTTATGTTCCCAGGTGGGCTACCAAATTTTGGTGCAGGGCCACCATTTGGACCTTGGCCTGCGTTTGGACAAAATGTTTTTAATCAACCAGGTATGCCGATGGGCTTACCAGGCCAATTTACTCCTGCACCCATGAATTTGGGAGGTCAGGTACCAGCGAATGGACCGCAATTAGGACAGAACAACAATTCACAACCAAATGCTGTGGTTCCTGGGTACATTAATGGCTCTCCAAACTTCAATCAAGGACAATCACCTTCTCCAATGAGCATACCAGGCCAATTTACTCCTCCACCGATGAATTTGGGAGGTCAGGTACCAGCGAATGGACCGCAATTAGGACAGAACAACAATTCACAACCAAATGCTGTGGTTCCTGGGTACATTAATGGCTCTCCAAACTTCAATCAAGGACAATCACCTTCTCCAATGAGCATACCAGGCCAATTTACTCCTCCACCGATGAATTTGGGAGGTCAGGTGCCCGAGAATGGACCAAAATCAGGACAGAACAATAATAATGTCTCTCCAAACTTCACTCGAGGCGCTCATTCTGGTGGTGGTCGGAGAGGAAATCACAGGGGTGGTGGCCGTTTTGGTGGTAGGAGAGGTAGGTCACAATGTAACTGAAGTTGTGGAAGCCTTTACTTCATAACTTTCATTAGAAAGGTTAGTATAGTAGTTTTATGGTTTTACTTTTCCCTTCTCTTTTAGGGATCAAGTGTGTGTAGTAGGACTATCCACCTTCTCTTATGTAATGAATATTGTCCCAAATTCGAAATGTTTGTTTTCCACCAGTTCTCTCCTTGCTCGAAAATGCACAACGATACACAAAAGCCTTGGCTTTACACATCTGCTCTCAGTTTTTGCCTTGAATGATGTTGGAGTGTGATGGGATCAGGTACTCAGATGCAAAGAACCATACTTTGGATTCTTCTATTTTCAGTTTTCCACCTTGCATCTGGTAATTTGCGTTTGGGGGCTCGATTAATTTGGATTTGTACTGGGAGGTATCACTTTCATATGCCATAGATTCACTGTTCGTATAGTTTTCAAATATTTATATTTTATTTATGAAATATTGAGGTGATATAGCTTAGAAAATTAGTCACATTTACTCCTCAGAAGCAAAACATTAAGGGGTGCTCCTAAAATAATCGAAATAACAAACCAAATCAATTAGAGGTTACTTTTATGTAAAATGTTATAAAACTTTTAGTACATACTACATAGTACATTTAAATCTTTTGTACTCATATCACGTAAATATATTCACCAAACTCTGAAAAGAAATGACTTAATATTTTTCTTTGCTAGAAATTTAATATGAAACTTTATGATACTCAACATACATCATCAGTCAAAAGGCCACACCCTTGCATGTTTGTTAGATAGTACTCCTATTCGTATATATTTAAGAATTTATTGATTTAATATAAGTATCAAAACAAAGATCTAACATTTTTTTTACTAAATAAGATAGCATTTTGATCAGTTTATTTACGTCCTTTACCTCTCTCATAGTTCTCAACATGTAGATTTGTTTTTATTCACTAAAGTACTACGTACTTCTTTTGCCAAACTTTTAAGGTTGGAATATTTTTGAATAAGTTATTCCATCATATACATGGAATAGTTTATTCCATCACAAAGACATAAATGATGGGATAAATAATTTTAAAAATGTTTAATATCTAACTAAACATAAAATAAAATAGTCCTGCATTTTATCATTATCATATATTCTTATACCTTGCACTAAACAACGAGTCCATTCACCTTTTGCTTTTTCGATGACTAGATTAAGATTTTGTGCTTTTATGGGGAATGGTTGAATCAGTCTTGCAAATTCATCCTCCATTAATAAAAAGAGGTTTACAACAAATGATTTTTCTTTCTTTTCATCACTAAAAAGTGCATATTTTAATGTTATATATATTCTACATTTGATGTTGCATAACAAACTATTTGGGTGCCCTTTATAACGCATTAATGAAAAAGGAAGACCAGTATAGTGGGAGGCATCTTTTTGGAAATATGAAATACTTTAGTAGGTTTATTCTTTGTCAAATATGCTGTAAAGATCAGGTGGACCAAAAATTCGAACTTTATGAAATCTTAGCATTAAACCTTTATTTGAACAATGGGTTCAAACGTAACGTTTGATGAAGTTTTACTCATAAATTTATATTCCGCATCAAAACAGGAAAACGATGCATCAATATTTATAGACAGAAGAAAACCTTTGATTGTGAATGTAAAACGGCAATTAATGGGTCTTAGATATGTCAGCAAAAACATGAGCAGTAGGGGTTTTTAGATGAATTAATAATGATGGGGAACACATACCCCATTCAAATTGGAAACAAATAATTCAGCCTTTTGCATTCTTTGTGAAGTCACTGCACGTCTGGCAACTGCAGTCCGAAAATCTGCATATTTCGCAACCAAAACAAACACAGGTGGTGCAACCTTTACATGTGGGAGAACGAGAACATCCCCTGTACACCCTACGGCTTGCTCGCTCTTCTTCATCGTCACATGAAAATCTGATACATACAAGTCAGTAATCGAGCAAGTCCATAATTTAAAAACACGAAAAAACAAGAAAATTCAGAGGATCATCACTTCATATTTGACAGCTAAAAGAGAAGAGAAAGCTGACAATCTTAACAAATTTGCAAATTTTGAGTGACATTGGAAATGAACGCTTTTGTTAGTTCAACAACTGCAAAGAAAAGATCGTTGCACGGTATATCAAGTAGCAAAGAAAGCTTTTTACCACCTAATAAGATGGGGACATGCATCAGCATATTCCTTTATATCACTTGAAACTACAACATTTCAGATTCACCAAAACAAACCAAGAAAGCAGATGGCATGTGCAGGGGAGTGGATGCAATTACAAGGGATGGCATTTTAAATTCCAATACTCATAATAAACAACTATTTATGTCAAGGACAAGTGGTTGACTTCGAAAATATAACAAAGCAAAAAAGCATTCTCCTCTAAAGGATTAAGTTCTGACCATAAGCAGAGATCCCATGAGCATATGATCAGAAAACAGAATACTATGAAGGACACTACTTCTGGAAATGAAAATCGATAGTTATTTGAATGCAGTAATAGCTGTAATTAAGCTTTACTTCCAGTCACCCTTTATCTGTTAACTCTACCTACATCATCAAATCCGAAGTGCCATTTAACTTGGATGTAGGAGCAAAGGCCATATGAGTTCCCTTCCCACCCCAGAATAAGCACTTTTTTCCTTTTTCTGTTTGTGCTTGGGGGTGTGAGTTAAAGATATTACGTGAATAACTGCTACAAAACTAATATGTAATCACATATCCTAAACTATCTTCTCATTTCTAGAGCATCATATGTAGGTAAATAAACTGATGAAAGAGCTCCCCTCTCAGATTCTGAGCTGTTCTTTCTAAAATAAGGTTCTTACACCTTTTACCTACACACTATTAGTATGATATAGGTCATACATGAATGCTTAGTCATGGTTCAAATTTGATCAGATCGTAAAGTACTTTGCTAATGACGGTTCACTAGGATGAATATTAAATATTTCTTTGAATCCTTCTCCCAAACATGCAAGATCCACAGCATGCAAAAGTTTCCTGCCTGTACTTCTATTTCACCTTTCATGACTTTCCTCTTTTTGTCGAGATTTCACCATTATAATATGAAAGTTTTTTTCTTTTAAGGAGGAGGAGCAGAACTAGAAATTAGAATGGACAAAATCCACCGATAAAACACATATTGCCTGGTCGTTCATGCTGGACTAAAAGACATAAAATGATTGAAGTGGGAAAACAAATCATATACAGATTATACAAAGGTAAGAGCACTCATGAATCAACTAAAGACTTCCAAGACAAACTAACAAAACGCAACTATTTTCCATTCCATGACTTCTGCAACCATTGACAATACCCATTCTGTGAACAAGATACAAATTTTGTTACTTTGATCAATTAAATAAATTTTACATTTAGGAAAAAATCAACCGCAGCATGCATGTGTAAGAGGGTGGTGAATCCAGAAAATGAAGAACAAAATAACAACTTGAATAAGAGGAACATACTTGTCATAAGGAATACAAGAGCAGTTCCAATGCACATTCGCCAAAGCATCATGGTAAGTTCTGCACTCTTCCTTTGAACGGAGACGGAACCTGCGGGCTTTGTTGCACTCGGTACATCTTAGGAACTCATCACGATGACAAGCTTTTCCATTTTGAGAAATAGCATGCTTTAGAGACTTGTTATAATATTTTAGCAATGGGGTCTTTACCACAGGAACTTTATCACCATTGACAATGATCCATACATTATTTTTCCATTTCCTAGCAGTTTCTCTCCCAGAATGCTTCTCAAACGCAGACGGAGTAAGCTTGTCTGTTCACAAAACACAAAACACTTAATAGGAGCACAACGCACAAGAAGGCTATGAACAAATGTAAAAGAGAGGAAAATATGGCATCAGATTCAACATAACACGTTCAATCAACTCTCCGCAGGAACTTTATCACCATTGACATACAAGAAGTATTAACAACTAAGAAGCTGACTATCTACATTCCAGACAGTGAAAAAAGAGACTCTTGTTAAGTAGCACAAGTACAAGTGGTAGGACTTAATTTACTTTATCAGATAATTCTTTCTGTGGGGTGTTATTTTATCAAGTACAAAATCGATTCTTTGTGGCTTATGATTGTAAAATATAAAGAAAGGAGGAAACCAGGAGGATACATAGTGAATGATTAAAAAGAGAAATATGCTCTGACAACAAATGCTGTCGAGAGAATCTGGTGAGTGATAGTATAAGATTTCTTTTGATATCACAGCTAAATATTCAACCAAAAACACTGCACAAGCCCCACGATAAACATTTATTAATTAAGAGTTGATGGTTTTCAAAAAGTTGTCATGGCCAAGTTGTAGAAATGGTAGAACCAATGAGTTGTTTAGCATAAGATGATACCATCAAAAGTGATGCTTTGAAGAAAAATCAAACAGAACTCTAACTCTGCATCAAAGGTCAAGAGTCTTAAACAACTAAACCTGCCTTCAAAGAACCATTATCACATAACGAACACACAATGTATTTCTACCTTTGTTGACATGCTTATCAATAACATATCCCGTGTAATTTCACAAAGTGGAGTCTTGAGACATAGAATGTACGCAAGGTAAGGTTGACAAGAGACGCACAAAATTGCCAAAGAAACATCAAGAACTTCAACACACAACACCAAAGAACACACACTACCACAGAAGCAGAAACTATGCTCTCTGAGGCAAACTTACATACACATAAAATGTTACACATAAATCAAACACAGAGTCGACGATAGAATAAAACCCACGAACAACATGCATTTGACGCAAACCCCCATTTGATCTAAAGTTTGTTAAAAAAAAAAACCTTCAGTGCATCCAGGAGTACATTCACAGGTGATTTCAAGTTCACCAGACGAGAAAACCCTAAGTCTAGCAACAGCATCACCATATCGATGGCTTGTACACCCACACATCACCTCCACATAATCATCGCATCTCTTTACCCCACTTATCTCACGCAACTCCTCTTCCGTGAACAACAACGTCACCACTCCGTTACCACCATTCTCCATTGATGAAATCTCTTCTCCTCCAACTCTCTCTGTTACCTCAAAACCAAAACAAAATCCGTAAAAATCAAAATCAAATCAAAAAACAAAGAATCAAATCACCCACTTGCCATATATATCCGTGTCTGCTTTTGTATGTGTCGATGCACACATACATATATATATACACAGATTATAACTGCAAATGCATTTGCTGCAGATATAGAGAGAGAAAGTAAGAGAGAGAATGACCCAGATTGTAAAAATGGCCTCCCTCAGCAAGCACGCATCTCCACGGAGTCAGTCCAAGAGATCTGGTGTAAAAAGCGTTGAAAAGGAGGAGCTTTAGGGCTTTTTATAGAGAGACGAGTCTCTTTTTCTAACTCGTAAAAATAACGATTGCGAATTTTTAAATATTAAAAAAAAAGAATTTATATTTTGAATTCGTCTCTTATAATGTACGTTTAATTATTGTGATGTGAATATTTTTTTGGTGCATTCTTAGTAGTGGGAGTGACTTATGGTTAATGTTTATTTGGAGTTATCATTCACGACGAAACTTGAAGAGTTTACATATAAATCAAACTCTAATTTAATTTTAGTTTTGTTTCTTTTCAAAGAAAAAAGAGATTCCTTTACGACTCGAATTTATTTTATTTGTTGAGTTTGTTGAAATTTTATATTTTCGTTAGCTGAACGCAAAGTTCATGTAATATACTCTACTATACTAATTGAAGTAATGCTAGAATACTTATTTTTTACTACTTTACTTTGGATTATTAATTTACTTTACGTAGTAAAGTTGCTATAAAGAGAATTTTATGGAAGCACAAATGAGGGTTTATATATATAGTAGGATTAAAAAAAAAAAGAGAGATAGAAAAAAGTTTTTAATTATTGCATAGGAAAAGGTCCTCAATGACCCATGTGACTCTGTTTTTTCCCTTTTTCCAACGGAAATGAAAAAACTAATACATTTATTTGCATAGGCAAAGTGGTTACAAAATTATATTTAAATAAACGTAGAAAATGATTTATTCGTTCTAAAAGCATTATTTTAATTACAAAAATTAACGAAAAATAACAGTAAATACATTAAAGAAAAGTGCACAATGTTAAAATAAAACAACCAATCTACTTGTATTAAACATGAGTAATTTAATACTCCCTTCGATTCAATAGTAGTTGCTCCCTATATTAATTGAATTGTGAGACTCTTTTTACTTTTTAAATTAATTTAATTGTTTAATTTTCAAAACTATTTTTAAATGCTTTTTTAATTTCATCTTCATTTATTAAGAATTCTCTCTGTTTTATTTTATATGACAATATTTGATCAGAAATTTAATAAATAACAAAGACTTTAAAATATTTAACAAATTGCCTTACAAAAATAAAAATAGACTCATTTTTTTTTCTTTTCATAATTATATTTAGTATATTATCTTTAAAATTAAGTGGACCAATAAGAATACCAATAAACATGTATATTTAAAATACTTACCATATAAGTAAAATTGAAGTTTTTTAAAAAACTGGCCAAAAAATGGTTTTATTATATAAAATCGGACAAAAAAATATAATTTTTTATTTAAAAAATTAAAATGATACTTATTTTGAGACTGTTAAAAAAATAACAAAAAGTAGGCAAGTAGGTGGAGGGGTATATATCATCCATTGGCTTTTAAAGGGCTTTTGCGTATTGGTGCTATAAACTTCTTCTCATTTTTGGAGAATCATTTCATATTCTTGTTTTTATGTGCTTTCTCTACAACTTTTTTTTTTTTAATCATTATTAAAGAAAACGATATTTTTCATCTTTTTTTGTAATGATATAACCTAAAGATAGAGCACCGTATATATACGCAATGGAAAATGATAAGAAAATTGCATCATTACACTTTACTATCATTACACTTTACTAATTTAACCCCCAAAATACATATATTTCATTGACTACTTTGATCTAGTCTCACATGGAATCATATGCTAAAAAGTTGTGCAAGAGGCTTAGCAATGAGAGTCAACTTTCGATAGATAAGAGGGGTAAGCATCACGATGTGTATAGCAATTTTATATTAATTGAAAAATTTATATAAGTGAGGACTGAGAATAAAATTAATTGAAAAATTTATATAAGTGAGGACTGAGAAGTTTTGCATAAGATCATGTAAAAAAATTGTCATCTCATGCATCAATATTAGATATATATGAGACAATGTAACACTCTCACGCGTCTAAGTGTATTGATCAAAAATAATAAGGTGAAACAAGAATTAAACAGGTATAACCTAGTATCATAATAAAAATACTCCCTTCATGCATGTTTATTTGTTATTATTTAACTTGACACGAATCTTAAAAATAATCAATACAATGATATATTACTCCTAATTATTATGTGTTGAGAGATTAATTAAAACTAACTATAGTACTTAAATAATAATAATATTATCTCTTAATTTTACCAACTTATAAGTTTTAACAAGACACTTGTCACACACAATGATTAATTTATCTGTTATTATTGAATGTTCCTTTTCACCAGAAACTTACTACTCTTCATTATAGATGCATCCTTTATGTGTTTTGAACTACCAACATTAACACTACCTAGAAGCTAACATAGCCAACTTGCACACATATAGTACTTAAATTCTATCATAACAACTTTTATAGACTCAAGTTGTCATGTTGGGAGTTGTTAGTACACATCGCGCGTTTAAAACCAAAACCAAAGTTAAAATTTAAAATTTTATATTGTCAAAATTTTATTTTTTAAAATTATTAAATTCAATCGAATATGATATCATAACAACTTTCAGAGACTCAAGTTGTCATGCTACATCGCGCGTCTAGAGACAAAGATGAAGTCAAGATTTAAAATTTATATTATGTAAATTATATTTTCTAAAATTATTAAATTCAATCGAATACGATATCGTAGTTCCATCATTGCTTTAAAGACAAAAAGGTGAGGGCAGGAGGAACCATTTTCTCCCTTACAAATATATTCCATTCCAACTCCCACTTGATGAATTATGACTCATGTTTACTAACGATACTTAGTAGGTGTTTGGAATATTTAAAATTTCTAAGTTGGAATTAAAGATGGAGTTATATTTGATTATAATTTTTTATATTGAGTATTTAAAGTAACGTCTGTATTTATTTATAGCACACTTAATTACACCTTCAAACAAAAAAAATAACATACTTTTTCATATTGGGTTTCAAATTGTCATTGTCAAAACTTTGATTTTCAAACAACAATGAAAACTTATAATTTCCAAAAGAATTAAATAATTGTTATCCTTAACGTTCTTATCTTGTACAAATCGTTAAATTGATTTGAAATTGAAATTTATTCAATATATAATTTTTAAATAATATATTATTAATATATTTATAATTTTAACCAATTAGAAAAAGTAGTAAATTAATGTAGTATAGTCTAGCTAACAGACATATCGCACATCAACTTTAAATTGTGATGTTGGAAAAAGAAGTCTGCATTACTGTTATTAATGCAAACAGAGTTCTAAAACCCAAGCTATAAGCTATTATCGACGGTGTTATTTTTACCGTCTCAATTTATGTGATAATTTTTAAATTATAAAATTTAACTATTCATTCTATTCAATCATAGTTATTCATTATTGACTTGATAAAATTTAAAAGAAATTATAAAAATAAGGATATTATTATTATTTTATTTTTTAATTTTATTAAATTTAATGTTTTGAAAATAATCTTAGATGAAAAATAGTAAGAATAAAATTGACAGAAAAAATAATTTTTATTTTGTACAAATATTTTTGAAAAATAATTTTTAATATATAATAAACAATTATTATTAAATTAAGAAATATATATATATAATATATATATATATATATCTTGAAATAGTAGTTATTATGACTCACAATATTATTAAATATTTGGTTGAAGTACTGTATAGTACTTACTCTCAAAAGATACTCTTGTTTTAATTTGTGATTTTGTGGCCTGTCTTTTCTAAACCCAGCTCCAGGCCATCTATTACTACTTTGCTGCAGCTTGGAGTACGATACTATCTCCGTCTCATTTTGTATGTCATTTTTTAAATTTTAAAAGTCAAGTAAATTTATTTTTAATTATAATTTTTTATAAATATTATAAAAATTTTAAATTATTAATTATTTTTACGTAATTTATAAATATATATATTTTATTTTTAAAAAAGTTAAAAATTTTATGCTCAAATTTTTGATCAAACTTAAATTGTTTGACTCTTAAAATATAAAAAATATCATATAAATTGAGACAGAAAGAATACAAATGTATGTGTTTTCCAATACATAAAGTTCAATATTTTGAAAACCTTTTGGGGTCAACCACATATCCGAAACTCGAAGATAGTAGGTTTAAATTTGAGTCTGTAGGTTTAAAATTATTTTTATAATACTTCATTATGAGAATTTTTAATATGTATTTAAATTTAATCTGACTATAATATGAAAATTGAACCGTTGGTGTAAAAACAAAAAGAAAACAAAAGGTCACCTAACTAATAACAATATTTCTGCAACTTAATTAACTAAATATTAATTTCTTGAAAGTCAATAACCTAATCCAATGGTTGACTTCGAGATATCAACAACGTCTTGCACATGTACACACAATTATTATTGTCTTGATAATTTAATAGAATGAATATTTTGTTTAATAGAAATAATAATGAAATATTTGTATACATGTTGATTAAATTTGAATTTTCGTTAAAAAGTAGAGTAAAATTTTTCTAAGGTAAACGACTCTATATTTGAGAATAACTTAAATCAGAAACTTTTGTTTGGAATAAAAGAGTAATTACTATCTGTGTTAATTTTATTTCTTTTTTTTAAATATTTGAAATGAAAGTGCCCTTAATTAGAGTTTTCAGATTCGAGCTCTAGGTATGGAGAGAATTCTATTGGAAGTATCACTTACAAATAAGTCTTGCAAAACGCGATTCAAATTTAATCAAAACCCTAATGTAAACTTCAGATACCAGACGAAAAAACAACAACAAAAAACTATATGTATATACATTGAATAACTCCAACCCCATAAAGTCAAGCTGGGATATAGTAGGCCTACCTTTTTTTTTTTTCTTTTTTATTTGAGCGACTATTAACCAAACTTTTTAAAATAAAATAAAACAAATTTTTTGTTGATCAATAAATTTTAAAAGTTATTCTGAGCAATGTATTTGACCGCTCGTTCTCTATTATTTTGTTCTTTTTTTTATTTTTATAAAAGCCTCTTATTTTTGTTTTGTTTAAAAGAATGTTTTTTGATGGATGATATTTTTTTAACTTATGATA